GGGGGAAAGGACAATGCCAGAGAGCCCAGGAGCTGTCTGGGGAGCTAGCTGTGTGGCTTCATTTGGATGCTGATCATACAGCTGTGTTCGCTGTGTAGTCATGAGCTGACAACACAGGTCTGCAGGCATGTTAGACTTCAATGAAGTGTTATAAAACATGAGTGATATGAGAATGGTGCTATGTCTATTGAGGGTCTAGTCTGTGCCGCAAATTCTATTTCTCTTTACTTCCTTTTAATCCTTAAAACAAGTCAGGGGCTCTACAAATGGAGAATCAGAGGCGCAAACAGATGAAGGAATGAGGTCAGAGTCCCTTCCAATGGCACCGTTCTGACATTGAATCCAGGCTTACGCGCTTCCTCCCCACAGCTCCCACGTCTGCTTTAAATACTCTGCAGTCTTTATTCAGCTCAGCCACTCAAGTCCAAGCACTATGGGTGAGACCACAGGTGGACAGGTGGGCTTCTGTGGAGGGCATCTGCAGCGCTTTGGGGCGGAGGCTGGAGTGCGCTTCTTTCTGTGGAGGAGGAGGGTGGTGGAAGAAGCCTTGGACTGGGAGTGAGGCCCGGGCTGGTCCTTGCAGTCCCCACAAGCCGCTTTGGGGCAAGGCCTGCAAGTCTGTTGCTCAGTGAGGCCTATGAGCCGCCCTCTAGATCTACCTTTTCTACAGGTGGATTTCTGATAATGTCGCCAAGGGCAAACTGCTACTCCAGTGTCGCCCTCACGTGGTGCGCACAGATGCCTGCCAGCCTCCAAAGGAAGGGGGAGAACATGCAAAGCCAGCCGGAGGGCTCCTCTCGCTCCGCCTGTCTAGGATAGCACAGGCGCCTGCTCCCCGGCCCCCTCCCAGGGAGTGAAGACACCCAGGAAGCGTCCGTCTCTCCAGGCGCCTGCAGCAGCCTCTTCCCCACCAGGGGACCAAGACTCCTCTCCAGCTGGGGTTAGCGGTTGAAGGGCCCAGCACCCACATTCACAGACCACACGTCAACGCACTCAAGCCAACATTCTCAAAAACAGGAAAACGCAAGGGCTTAGAGAACACAACTGTGACTGGATTTCAAAAAGTCCGTCACTGTGTGGTGGGTGTTCAGTTCAGGAAGCAGGCCAGTGGACAATGCCAGGGGTTTCCCCATATCCCACCAGCACACCGGGCTGGTCACTTACCCCCTAGTCACTCCATCATGTTTGGACAGGCAGCTAGCTGGGACAGTCCAATCTGACAGCCCCTCAGCTCTGGAATTCAAATCTGGGCATCCTGTCCTAAAGAAAGGGCACTGGACAGATGGGGGCATAGGTGGTGACCCCCTCCCCCTCCCAGGTATGGAAGGTGTCAGAGTGAGGCAGCACAGTGACACTGGGAAGACAAGAAAACCCTTTCTCCTTCACGCCACAGCTCCATCTGGATCATCTGCCTCCCATCCCAGTTCATCTGGCCCAGTCCTCACGGCCTTGTCTGACATGCTGCCTGCAGGCACCTCTGAGTCCCGCAGGGCCGGCTTCTGTTCCTTCATGGAATCTCACAGGCCAACAGCATGGCTGCATGATGTTATACCAGGGTTTTACTTTTAGACCTTGGAGTTTTATGTGCACACACTTTTTAATACAAAAATTAGACATGCTCATTAAAAGAAAGCATTAAATATAAAAATATACAAAGTAAAAAAAAGATTTTAAACTTTCCCCTTCAAGGGCCCTCCATGTCAGGCCGTGTGCCCGGGGTCAGGGTCATGGGAGGTGGGTGCTGGGCTCTTGGGAGGCTTCCGGAATTTGCTCTGGAGGAAAACTCTGGGCACACACAGGCCTTCTTTTTTATTCACAGTCTCCCGCAACACGTACTCGTTCACCACTTCTTCATAGCCAGTGTCCACAAAGAGCCGAGCCAGGAATTCTGCAGGACACAGGTCAACAGTGTTCATGGCTTAATCATGGCCTGACATCCATGTTGAGAGAAGGGGCAGGGGCCGCACCCACTCTGTCCTCTGCCCTCCCCTCCCCCCTTCATTCAGCACAGGTCTCAGCAAGGCGTTCAGTAGCAAGTCAGAGCCTGCCCCTCCCCCAGATGCCCTGACATGGTCACTCGGCTTGTGGGCACACCAGTGCAGGGCTCATGTCTGTTGCTCCAGAGGCTCAGCGAGAGAACTGGTCCAGGGACTCATGCACATGAGCTCCAGGACAGCTGCCAGCCCCGCCCAAGCCAGCACCACCAGTGACAGTGCAAAGGACTGGAAATACAGCAGACAGCATTTTAAGGTGAGGTCCCATTCATCTTACCATCGGTGAAAAAGTATGACCTGGTTCCATCTTGTCTGACATAAAAGTTTTCTCCAAGCTTGCTGCCGGCTTTAAACCTGAGCATAGCATGGTCGTACAGCCCGTAGTCACGGAACAAGACACACCTGCCAGGTTTCAGTACCTACGAGACAAAAGCAGGCTGCAGGTTACCAGGGAGAGCTTGCGTCTAATAGAGCTTATTGTAGCTTTTAAAATCTGATGAATTTAGAGATTACAGTAACTTAGAAATTGTGATAATTATGAAAGGGGCAACTGAAATGCAGGCAGTCCCTGGGTTATGAACATCCGGTGCCCATACAACCTATAGTTACAAGCTATGGCATTAAAGGTACATACAATGGCTCGTAATAACAACCAGGTGCTACTTTGAGCCATGCAGCCAAACAGCAGCATTATCCCTATTATTAGTGTGTTATTTTTCTCATGTTCTTGCAAGTGTTTTTTTAATGTTTACTATGCACAGAAAGGTACACACCTACTTTAGACTAAGACAAACATATGAGGTTAGATGGGAACTGTGGTGAGCTGTGTTTACCTACCGATTCAACTATAAAAACAGCCTTAGGAGCAGGGTCTGTCTGTAGCCGGGGGGCTGTCTGTGCCCACGCCCACGTACATGGGAAGGACCTGCTAGTGGAGCCTCACGGAGCATCACTCTGCTCTGTTACACAGCAGTTAACTCAACTTGGAGGCAGCAGCAACAAACACAAGCAAAGGAGCAGAGAGGACGTGGCAGGAACCCAGGAACCACAGGTACTTTCTGAGCATCAGAAAGTACTTTCAGAGGAGCGGTGTCACAACTAAATGAAAATGTAGCGACGTCGCTCAAGTACATTCTGGGACCTCTACGTGGCAAAATGTTCTTCCAACCCTTTATGACCTTCCTCGGGGCTACAATGCCTAACCAAACCACCCCTTTAAAAAACTGTCACGAAAGTCTGCTTTTCACTGATTTGCGCTGACTTTCCTCAGTCTGAATCTTGGGTCTGGCTTCCCTGTTTGGTGAGCTCTTCACGGTGCTACTAGCTGATGAACGCCTAGTACTCCACGGTTCACCAGACATGTCTCACCAAATCTTCACAAGAAGGCAGGAAGAAGCATTATTAATATCTTCATGTGCGACGAGGACAGTGACGTGCTAAGAAGCTGCATGATTTGCTTGATGATCACCAGCTAGCTACTGAGTTGGGGATTCAGGACTCACACAACTATGGGCAACACGGCCCCTTCACACCACTGACAAGAGGCAGGCTCACACAGGATGGTGACTTGGGTAGGAAGATGGAGGTTGTTCAGCAAAGGGGTCTGTGAGAGCACCAAGTGGTGCATCCCCCAGCTGAGCCTTTCCCAGTTCACCTGTCAGAGTAGACGAGTCTCCAAGATTCGAAGGCAAGATTAGCTGTATAGAGTATGATAGCTCTGATCTTACACAGCAAAAACACGCTGTATGCTTTTCAAAATGAAAAGTAGTATTTGTGATAGGAAAATTCTTTCAAATTGTGTAACCTATCAATGACAGGGAACTTCAAAGGCGGAACTAAGCTGAAATCTTGTCATTCTGACCCATCTCATCCACAAGATGATTTTAAAAATATTTACTTTCAAATGGACACGTGCCACTTATTGTCATCCATGTTTTTCTCCTTTGAAAACGTATGTGCTATGCCAGAAGACTAATGGACCATGTGAACCTCATTCTCCATCACCTTGAAATCGGAAGAACTAGATGGTACCCGGATACTGCTGCGGATCACTCGGAAAGGGATCACGTGAGAAGGGCCTCGATAGAGTAGGCAGAAAATGTGGAATAAAACCCAAAAGTCATAAAGAACCCCAGGCTTACTGGTGGGATGACGACTGGTCATCACCCCCAGACAACGGCTCTACGTCACCCTGCAGGTCTGGAAATGGACACACCAACGTGGCTCCTGTTTCAGTCAAATAATGGGGAGGCTTTCACACAAGGTTGGTCCTCACTTCCTCAGCATAATCAATCCTTTGAGACACCCAAAGACGAGGTTCAGAAGGGCGGCAGGGTGAGGAAAGAAGGCAGGATGGAAAGGGGAAACCCGGGCGGAAGTGTGGCACACTGTGGGGCGGCAACCAATGACATGAAATCAAGGACAAGGACAGGTATGCACGGCTGAGTGGAAACCTGATTTGTTTTGTAGCCCAATTCAAAACAGAATGTTTAAAAAAAAAAAATATCATATATACTCGAGTATAAGCCGACATGAGTATCAGCGGAAGCACCTAATTTTACCACCAAGACGGCATAAAATGTGCTGAAAAGCTCGGCTTATACAGGAGTGTAAATGGTATGTGCTGTGCTATTAATGTTCCTGCATCATTTGCTGTGCACTTCATCTTTCCAAGCATATTATGAACTCATCCACAAAACTTCCCAGCGGGCATTTTAAAGGTACTCAGTGAAGAGTCTCATGGGAAAAAAACGTTTTACTTTGCTGAAAAACCTAAGTTTTAAAAACGTGACTTATGGAGGAGACCACATTCTGAAATCTTCTTAGAAGCCTCCCTTTAGAAGAAGGGCAAGGTTGCATGGACGGTAGACAACACTCACTCAGGAATTTGGAAGTCTTGATTCAACTCTGTTCTTCCACTAACGAGTTGAACGACCAAGAAGTAATTTCGTCCCTCTGAATTAGCTTCCTTGTCTGTAAAACAGTAAGTGGGAGACTAATGCCTCTGACCATGGTGCTGCATCATTTACCAGGCATTTTCCAATGCAACATTCCTTCATGTTTGCACCTCGCGTCAAGAGTAGACTGAGTATACCTACTTTACAATGACAACGAATCTTCAGGACTTGCCTGAGGTCTCACGGCAGACAGGTGGAATAGGGAAGACTGAAGTCTGTCTTCTGATGGTAAATGTGGCTTATTTTCAGGTCACCATTCTCCTCCAGAAGCAGCCCTGGTGGGGTAATGCCTTACAAGTTGGGCTGCTAACCACAAGACCAGCAGCTTAAAACCACCAGCCCCGGAGGCACTATGGGGAAGCCGTGGACTGCTAACCTCAAGGTCCGTGGTTCAAATCCATCAGCCACTCCTTGGGAGAGACAGATGAAGCTATCTGCTCAGCAAGGATTTGCCGCCTTGGAAACCCTATCGGGTTGCCAAGAGACAGAATTGACTGGACAGCAGCTGCGTGTGAACTTAGGTAGGAAAAAAGGTACACCTTTGGTTTCCCGCCCTTTAGCACGCCTTCATTCTAAGTATTAACAACAGAGCATGTTCTCACTAAGTCACAGATAGTTCCATCCCATGGTATAGCTCTTGACGATTTGCATTCACCACTACTTCAAAAGCACGGTATTTGTTTGACCTACCACTAGATCTTAATAGTGTATTAATAAAAGGCATATTTATTTCTCATATTATAGATCTGTCTTATAACAAATTTTCTAACTTACTTCAACAGTTTGCCCTTGTAATCATAGCTTTTTTTTTTGTAATCATAGCTTTTCTTTTAGGCCTTTAAAGAAATTTGGAGAAGGGGTTCATACCATATGCTCAATGGACAGGTCTTGCACAACAGATTCTTTCCAAGGTCCACTGCCACTGAATCGATTTTGAGTCAGATAAACTCTTTATAAGGTTACATGATTTCAGCTACAACCTGTCTGGTAGTGTGTGCATTTCCACAGGAAAAATTAATTATCTAATGGGTTTCTGGTGTCTTAAAATTTCTACCACACTATTTACTTTACAATAACTAAGGCCAGGGTTGCATTTTGAATATATAGCTCTAAGTGCAATAAAGCACTTTGAACCAACACCTCCTTTTCTACCTTGTGGCATGTTCTGCTCTCCCCCTGAGAGGCGGAGGACCGAAGCCCATGAGCTCACTGAACCTTGAAGGTCCTCAGTCTTTCTAGGTCATGCACCTGCCCATGGCAGGGACACCTCCCACCCTCGAGGACGACACGCTCACCGGGAGTCACTGGGTTTGGTCCCACGCTGGCTTATACTAGGTGTGCTTGGTTTTATAATTACATACATTATAAAGCTAGGAATGTGACTAGAAAGCATCTTTATTTTCTACGAAAAGGAAGTTGAGTTATTGCCCTGATAATGCAGTACTGAACAGCTCGCTGTTTCACAAGGGGCATGAGACCCCACCGTGAATGCCCAGGTGAAAACATAAAAGACATTTTCCAACTGTTTGTCAATGTTTGCTCCACTTTTAATAACAGCAAATCGCTTTACGTGTGTGGTAATGCGTGAAAGGGAGTCAGTGCTCAGACACACAAAGAAACGGCCTTGGCCTTCAGCCAAAAAGTGATGAAGCAACAGAGGTGCACATATTTCAATAAAACGAGCCACGCATCATTTTAAATGGTTCCTTGATTTAGTTAATTTTTTAAATAAAGTAACAGCTGCCGACTGTTAATGTAAATAAGAACACTTCTTCTGTAGTTGTTGAAAAACCCTCACATACGCATCACCTCATCTGCCTCTCACCATGACTTTGTGGGAGGAGCTTCTACTTTACAGACAAGGAGACTGAGTCTCAGAGATGGGAGCTGAGGGGGCTGCTCCCCAGACTAATGTGTGAAGCTTGATTTCGGGCCTGCTACGGCAGCCTCCTGGTGGCCACCAGTTTGAGTGGCCACCAGTTTCTCCCTCCTCCAAGAGCAACACGGTGGGAGGGACAACAGCCACAACAATTATGACCGACTTAAAAAACGCTCGCCATGTTCTTGGTGTTGGGCTAGCACTTTATACATAGCTCAGAAAATTCTATGATGCAGGTATTATCTCAGTAATGAACTGGCCATGCTCATCAGAGCAGCATCAGAGCCACTGCCTAAGGCAGATATGGGGCGGGGGTGGGGGAGTCATTTTAAGCTCTTTCTGGGCACTGATGGCACAGCCTACCTGGTGAGATGGTGGGAAGCTGTGGATCTAACAGGGTAGGAAGACTGGGATGGCCGGTGCGCATGTGCAACCCCCACCGCATTTACCTGGTAAACGTTTTGTAAGACGCGGTGCATCTTGTCAGGGTGAACAGCCGAGAGCACAAAAATCAACAGGACAGCATCCACAGACTCGGAGGGCACGTGCTCCAGAAGGTCGTCGGCAGTCAGATCACACTGGAACACCTTGCATCTTTCTGTGTCATAGGAGGGGTTTTGCTAGAGAGGGAACAGGAAACACAGTTTTAATCCAAGAGCCACATCAATATAGAAAAAGGCAGCATCAAAAGGAGAGTCCATCTCCCCGTGTGCTGCTCCACAGACATGCGCACTCACTCTGTTCCAGGGAAGGACTGAGGACCAAACCATTCTTCTAGGAATAATGTGCCATATTTACGAGGGGCTTCAAAAGGGTGGAAAATTCCATTATCTCTTAATGCCATCTTACCAAAACCTTTTTCAACCCCCCTCAACATATTACAAGAGGTAAGGGTTCATTTCAATAAATCATTTCACCCATCTATCAAACCTGAACCATTTAGAAGCATATAATTTGAGAAGTGATAACCCACAAGTGGCCTCTGCTTCCTTACTCTTTTGAATCACTCTCCAGTATGAACCCCAATCTTATGAGAAGTCCTTCGACTCTCTCTCATTGAGATGTGCCTGTAACACAAGGTTGTCAAAAAGCATTGCTATAAAACCACAGAAACCTTTACTGAAAAATACTCAAACCTATCCTTCATCTCAGTCTTTACACTTCTGACAGGGTGCTTGCACCTCTCTAATGCTGCCCTGGGGAGCCCTGGCGTAGTGGCTATGCGGGGCTATGCCAACCACAGGGACAGTTTGAAATCACCAGCCACTCCTTGGGAGAACAAGGCTTTCCACTCCCACAGCGTTAGACAGTCTTGGAAGCCTACGGGGCAGCACTACTGTTCTAGTGTCGCTATGAGTCGGAATCGGCTCGATGGCAGTAAGTCTGAACATTTCCCCCACAGAATTATGGACTGCTTTGATTTACCCCATGCCCAAGCATCCTCAAGGGATTAAAATAATGTTCTTTGAAAATGTTGACTTTGACAAACAAAAAGAAGTTTGACAAAAAGTGTCAGGTATATCAAAAAACAAGAAAAAACCCAATCTGAAGCAAAGAAAACCCCAGGACTCAGATACGACACAGATGTTCGCACTATGAAGACTCACAGCCATGGGGGTGGTTCTGACTCAGCAGAGTGGAAGTGCCCCTGTGGGTGTCCAAGACTGTAAATCTATGGGAGCAGAAAGCTTCAACTTTCCCCTGCACTGTCCCACTAGACATTTAAAAACCAATGATTCAGATATTTAAAGGTTCTAAGAAAAGTAGACAACATGCAAGATTAGGTCATTTCAGCAGAGACACAGGCAATGGAAATAGTGGAAGTGACAGGCGTAATGAAAACAAAACACACCGTAACAGAAATAATGTTTTCAATGAGTTAATTAGCAGACTCAACAGAGTCTAGGTAATAATCACTGAGCTTGAAGACAGAACAACAGAAATTATGCAAACTGAAAATACAAGAGGAAAAAGTGAAAACAAAAATTAAGCAGCCGAGACTATGGGGCAATATCGGATGATAAAACATAAATGAATTAAAATCTCACCAAGAAAACTAAGAATGCAAGAGAGAGAGAGAGAATGGATATGGGACCAGAAAAATATTTTGAGAAATGAGATCTGAACTTTCTCAGATTAAAAATAGAATAACCCAAATAATGGAAACATATGGTTCTCACTTCTCACTGCCACTATGTTGATGCTGACTCAAAATGACCTTTCCCTTGTGAGTTTTTAGGAAGCCAACAGCCTGGTCTTTCCCCCACGGAGTGGCTGGTAGTTCCAAACGACTGACCTTGTAGTTAGCAGCCCACTTGTAATCACTGTGCCACCAGGGCTTCTAGCAGATAGGTGGCTGTCTACATGCTTGGAGTAAAACACTCAAACAATGTTGGAGATAAAAATCTTAGTTCCTCAAAAGAAAAATATCAATGAGCTTGACATTGCAACATTATAATTGGAGAGAAACCACAGAGAACAATGGGAAAGGGTACTCCTATAATTTAAGCTCCACGTGGCTGGGGGTGTTTGTCTGTTTGCTGCTTAATCTTGGTGTTAAACTGTGACTGGCAGATAGCAGGCTCTCAACACTGGTTCAACTCATTAAATACTGAGACTCACATAGGAAGTAAAACTAATGCTTCTTTGTATTTGACAGGGTCCTCAGCCTCCCTCGTAAGCAGAGAAAAACAAGTTAGAATATGAAGATCTAACTTTCTGCCTATGAAATTGGGAAAAGTAAGACTGAGAATAACACATATCGTGGCAATGAAAAAGGTACTTCTATTTTATTGGTACAAAAATGACAAATCACTAAGACCTTTTCAGAAGGCAATTCAGCATTATCTATTAAAATTCCAATGTGCTTTTTAATTTGTTTGTTGGTTTGCTCTTAATCCGAGGAGCTGTACTCTTACATCATTCACCACAGAGAAACACATGTGTTTGAGGGAGCGTGTGTTCATCATATCACAATGATAGTCACTTTAGCACTATTGAAATAAGAGTATCACATGCCCATTATACAGAACAATACAACGGTAAACAAAAATATGGTCAATCTATATGTACTAACATGAAGAACTGTGCAAGACATAATAGAGATAGAAGGAAAGCAAGTTTTAGTACAATGTTAACTTTTATTTTTAAAAGCCCAACTAGTACTAAAACTATGTAAAGTTTATTTTACCTGTTGCTAACTTTTTTTGCTAAGAGCACAAGACTAATATTTTTGTAATGAATGAGTCAAACAGTTCTCAAACTAGCATTACTAATAGTGAAATTGCCAGACTTTAATGCCTTCTAAGTAAAGCTGCATGGTTGTCTATGTACATATAATGTACAGAAACAGGAAACTTAACACCAATTCAAACCCAGGGACAAGGGAACAACAAGTGACCCAAAATCAGTGGCAAGAAGGGTGTAAGAGGCTTGGTAGGGCTTGATCAAGGGCAATGTAACCGAGAGGAATTACTGACACCCAAATGAAGACTGAGTATGATAGCGGGACAAGAGGAAAAGGAAATAGAGGAAAGAACTAGGAGG